ACCTTGAGTCAGCAGGTGTTCAAAACTACTTTCTGCAATCGCTTCACCATTTCGCAATCCACAGCACGTGATGTCGACTGTAACACTGGCTCCTGGAGGGAGCGTTACACTTTCAGCAGAAACACGAAGAACGTCGGCGCGCTGTTGGTCATTCTCCTTGTCGATTGCTCGGTCGGCTGAGAAGGTGATGTGATGCTCTTGAAGATCAGTGACAGCTCTATATTCCTGCAGGAAGTCAACACCAAGAATGGCGTCACGCGAACATTCACTGAGCACAAGAAAACTTGCTACGAAAGTAAAACTGCAGACCCGAACTCTACTCGTGCAGGTTCCAAGCACAGAGACGATGTCGCCACCAGCCGTTCGAGTCATGGAGCCATGCCAGGGCGTGATTACCTTGTTCAGTAGTATGGTCATTTTCCCGCTTAGTATCGAATAGTCAGCCCCGGTACTCATTAAAGCACTAAGTGCATAGCCGTCAATCAGCATCGGTATATGCAAAGAAAGCCGCACATACCGTTCAGTCGAATCCACACCCTTGCCTGTTAGCGTCGATCTGAGGTCTCCAGCATGTCGACTGCCAGCGACCTCCCCTCCAAAGGCCGCTTGTTTTCCCGACGGGGACTGGGGGACCGCACGCGAGCATGTCGCTGGGGCCGAGATGAAAAGCGCCTCAGCAACGGTGAGCGCGACTGCTGTCCAGAAGGCGGTGGCATGCGCTGATGAGCCAGGTAGTCCTCAATGTTCCGGGGTCACTGACCATACCCAGGAGGTTTTGAATATATTTAAAAGCCCCGCAGCCCGAGGTGCCGGTATGTCCACTGGCGGTACAAATGGTCCACTACACTGCAGTGGAAGCACAGAGGTGAACGATCGGGAGTGCGCCAAACATCAGATTTAAGAGGCGATGTGCGTCTGTCGTCGAGGTAATGTGCTAGTTGCTCGGCAAGATGAGCAGGACTGGCGTGTCTTCTCGTAGTATCGGAGCAACTGCGCCGACTGTAGAGAAACCGTAGGAGGTGCCGTAGGAGAGAAGAGGAAGCAGGGCGCTTCAATGCTTCCACTTAGGTCGCACGGTAATAGTCAGCCGGGGTGGGTGTGGTGTTACCCAGGCTTCCATGGTCACGAAAAGCCTGGTGCAGCTCGTCCTTGACGATGCTTGCAATGAAACTCATCGTAGGGAGTGGTGGTGCTTCCAGCCTTTTGCAGCTCCTCGAGTACTATAGAGTGGATAAGGTCGCAAAGACACTCGATGTTGCTCCCAATAGCCGTGAGAACTTGAGCAGTGGACGTGTTGTTCACTTGCCGCTCATACAGGGTGGATCGATGCTGAAGCATTTTTTTCATCGTGACTGCCTGAAACAAAAACTCGGCCACTGTTTTCGGAGGGCTCCGTACAAGGCCAGCGAAAAAGCTGCTCCTTAACTCCCTGCATCAGGTTACACAAATTCTTCTCCTCTGTCATTCTCGGATCAGCCCTTCGAAACATGCGCGTCATATCTTCGACAAAGGTCACGGCAGTTTTATTGGGCATCTGGATGCAAGCCTGGATGGCTTCTTCCGCTCGTTTATGGCGATCAGCACTTGTGTCAGTATGCAGTAGCCGGCGGTAGAATTTGGGCCACAACGTCATCTGTTCCTCGTGGTTCAGGTACCACATACGTGTTCCGTCTTCCAAGTAGAAGTATACACGTCGTAGTTTGGCCGCGTCGATCCATTCGTTCAAGGCAGCCATGCGCTCGAAGTCAACCAACCAGTCCTCGACGTCTTCAAGCTCGGTGCCGTGAAACGGTGTCGGAACCTGTGGACTTTGTGGGTGTGCAGAGTCGCCGTTGGGCTTTCCGTACCAGTTCAAGTAGTTTGAATGGACGTGCTCGTCACACTAATGTGAACTGTAACATCAACTTCGGGTGGTAATCCCCTGATCCTGCGGCTGGTTCGATGAACGGGAGTGTTGACTCGCACTGGGTTTGTGGCGCGGCTTCCAGGAAGAGTCTAAAACATTCGTGAAGGGCTACGCAGCACCTCCACCAATTGTCACGTCACTCCAGGGGTCTAGAGAAGGCTTATTGAGGTCTGAGCAACAGGGCTCTTACCAAGCGCGTTGGTTGGGCTTGCTCGCCAGAGCAGGGACACGCACGCACTTCTTTCTTTAGTGGTGTGAGGCTTCGCCTCGGCATACAACCCACTACTAGAAGTAGGTGGCAATATTATCAGATTGGCGCGGTAAATATGATTTGGCGCACTTTGGCGCAAAAGTAGGATCACTGACTTTAGTGTCCCTTTAAAACTGTTGTATTACCTGCTTGCATAATTCAGCCATTACATATTAGTAATCAGAATAGCAACAGCTTCATTCACCACATTCTCTAGGGCCAAGTTCATTCCCGACATTTAAAATAGAACAAGACCATTACGAAGCTTAGCAAAAGGTAATTAGAAATCTAGGTTGATTGAATGTTCATGCTAAATGTTTCCTAGTAAACATATTAACAGTGAGATGACATGCACACTAAGGCTACCAAATCACACAGTTTCAAAATATTACCGATATCATCATCCCTAAAATTTTTTCGATTCACTGACCTACTTAATCACAGGAACCAAGCACAGCTTTCTCCTCTGATCACAATTTATAAAAAAAAAGAGTGTTCAATGTATGGGATGGCATTCAGCCTACTACAGATGGATGGCCCATGACAGAAAACAGACTGCAAGTAAGTAGATCATATTACTGGAGGTGCAAGAATAATAAAATTTCCAAATCAAATAATGCAGAGCAGTGGCCAAAAATACTGAACACAAAGAATTTCAATAAACAATGAAAGAACAAAGACTGCTATACACGATTTTCTTTTCTACTCATGTGCACCACCATCTTGGACTGATAAGCGTTCGTTTTGTAGATTTTCTGTGTCACAATATCAAATGAACGTGGTCACGAAACGTTGAATGTGCCGGCAAAGCACTTTCGCGCATGTGAGTTCACTGTAGCAATGTTGGTTTATTTGATACTAATACTAAACTGCAATGTTATCAGTCCAAGATGGCGGCACTTGAGTGCGTTTGAAAAATGGTGTATATAACACAAACTCTCCAGCCCCTTTTAGTCTACAGTTTTCAACATTTAAAACTGGCTGAGAACTACCAGACGAAAAGTGGCTGGAGAGTTTGTTTTATATGTATAATTTTTACCCAGTCAGACAGATTTCTGTTAAATATGTTTACCCTTAGAACAAAAAAGCAAATCAAATCTGCTTATGCAATAATAAAAATATGTGTACTTTCAAGTCCCAAAAGCAAGATGCAATTATGAGAAACACTGTAACAGAGGGCTCCAAAAATTTTGACCATCCAGTGTTCTTCAACGTGCACTGACATTCCCCAGTACACGGGCCTCTACCGTTTCGCCTCCATCGAAATGCAATTGCCATGACTGGGATCGAACGCGCCACCTTTCGGTCAGCAGTCAGGTACCCTAGCCAATGATCTCCCAAGAGGGAACAAAATCTGCTTATGTCCTCGAGCATATGACATAGTGAGTGAATGACACCAAAAGACTACAAATTGTCATGCAGAAATGCAGGCTGTTCTACATGACCTGGCTTTATACTCTTTCACTGTGAAGTTGAGGCTTTTACAGCAGTTGAAAGCTAGTAGTCACTGGGCATGTTATTAGCAAAGATGGGAGGATATCACAAAGCGATACTACCTGCATTGAGTGCACATCCGTGTTCTATTTCAAAGAATTATCTTTTCTTGAGATCAGGCCCTCTTTGAACTATTCTTGAACCTACAACTATGGTCGGAGCTCAGTGTACTGCTTAATTTTTTATGCTAGCTGCTCCACAGTTTTTGAGGCTGTTTCTCTGGACTTTTTCGCTGGAGGCATGACTTGTGGAAAGGACAAAATCTCTTTTGAAATAAACATTCACTCAGTTTTGAACAAGTACATCGGTGGAATTTTCAATAAAAGGCCTGCTGTAACAATGTTACCATTAGTTTTAGCCACTCTGCCCAAAACAAGTTACACCATTGGCCTTTCAAATGACCTAATTATTCATCCTGTCTAATTACTCAAAACTTATAATACTAGCTAACAGAAAGTTGAATCAAGTTATTCGATTAGGCCAAGTTCAATTTGAATTTTAAACTCAAATATTCGAACACACCTGCATATTGTACAGCTTCCTATTAGATAGCTGATTTACCGTTATAGCAGCTACAACCGAAGTCCCACCTGGCTCGAAACCACTGACCAAGAGGTCAAGGTGCTGACGACAGGCTGATAGAATGAGACACTTTAAGAAACAGGGCTGCCAGTTCGGTGAAATTTCTTTTTTAATGTGCTTATTTAATTCACTTGAATTAATAAAACTTATATTAGCTAACAGAAAGTTAAATCCAATTATTTGATTAGGCCAAGTTTGATTTGAATTCGAAACTCAATTATTCGAACATACCTGCATATTGTTGTACACTTTTTATTAGGTTGCTGATTCACCGTTATAACAGCCACAACTGAAGTCCCACCTAACTCAAAACCACTGAACAAGAGTTCAAGGTGCAGGCGACAGGTTCATAGAATGAGACACTTTAAGAGAAAGGGCAATGAAGTTTCTTTTTTAATGTGCTTATTTAATTCACTTGAGTAAACACAAAACTGAGGGATGCCATGCTTACTTTGGAAAACAGGTGTGCTATCTATGCCAAGGAAAGAAAAGGAAGGTATTTTTGTAAAATGGACAGAAACTGCATTTTACCTACAACTTCCCGCAACTGAATGCCATAACAAATAAAGCGGCATGTATTTCAACAAACAAGTAAACTTTAATACTATATTTCGGCGCAGTAGCAGGCATGCGCTTTGGTTCTGTAGCTTCTACAGTGCTTTCAAGAAAAGTTGTCGCAGAATACAGTGTGGTTTCCTGAAGGTACCTAATTGCAGCAGCCTAAGTGATAGAGAGAAAAAGACTTGTTCCAAGAAAAGGGAGGTCTACCTCTGGTTGCTGAGTTGACGGTGGTGCTTCAAGGAGCGCTTGTTGGCTGGATGAGTCGGCAAGCAGCGACGAAAAAGGGTCTTCAAATGGGGGTTGTTCTTCTTTCTCTTCTATTATTCTATCATCCAGGTCTTCGCCGAATTGAAGCTGTTCACCAACGTCGCCCTCCAAGCCCATTCGCAACTTGCGCATGTATGTCTGCCGAAGAAATCCACACGAATTGTGCCAGCACTAATGAGACGATGAGCAACACCACACTGAAACTACTGTACTGAGATACTTCATAGCAAAATTAACACAAAATGGTGCATGCTTATCCAGAGGCACATAATGAAAGCTATGCGAAGCCCAGTACAATATTATCAGGTTGCAATGTGAACAAACGACAAGCACACTTTCTTAAAATTCTTATACGCTTTTAAAATTTTTTGCAGGAAAACTGCACATGTTTGCTTTGTGAAAACCTCTCTGACAAACAACTAATCTTCCCTCTAAGGCTACTTTGAATTACTAAATAACAATATTGCCACAGAGACTGTTTATAATATCCGACATTATGAAGAATCAGCGTCCACAGTCTTGTGCGCACTCTTGCTTGGGGCCGCACGACTCATGCCTCTTGTTCACAGGCACGAGCCAGTGTAGGTTGGAGCTGCGAAAAAGAAGGTGTGTGGGCAGATGAACAGTTTTTGTTTTGGAACGCTCTAGCGGACTCTTCCATCTTTTCGCACATAATTTTCAGCGCACAAGTTCACCCATAATAGACTAGTTTTTGACTTTTCCTCTCTTGCACCCGTTACATTCTGGTGGACGGTGCTGGGTATGATTGGAAGCCCCCTTGGCACAAGAGAGCGAAGCCCCGATCCTCAATGATTGGAACCTGGCGAACTGACTCCGGTACACCAACGTTCCAGCCGCCGCCTCCGAGGAGAGCCGCCTGAATTCGCACCCCTCTTCAGTAGTCCAGCAACACAAGCAGCGTCCGCAGACAACGAAACGATGGCTTACCAGATGACATCATCGGAACTTATTCTGTCCCCACCGTGCTTGCCTAAGCCCTTCCACGGCAACACGTTCGAGGATGTGGAGGATTGGTTAGAACACTTCGAGCGGGTTGCGAAAACCAACGGCTGGGATAAAGCAAGAAAACTGCGTCGCATGTACTTCGCATTGGAGGATGCAGCGAGAACGTGGTATGAAAACCACGAAGTGTTCATACTGACATGGGAAGGATTCCGACAACAAATAGTAGCTACATATGCCAGCACCGATCATCGGGAGAAGGCGGAGAACGCTCTACAGTCCAGAAACCAGCGCACGAACGAAAGCGTTGGCATGTATATTGAGGACATGTCCCGCCTATTCAAACGCACTGACCCGAACATGAACGAAGAGAAAAAGCTGCGTCACTTGATGCGAGGTGTCAAACAGGAGTTATTTACCGGTTTGGTACGCAACCAACCTCGTACAGTTGCTGAATTCCGCAACGAAGCCACCTCCATAGAGCGGGCATTGCAGCAACGCTCCCGTCACTACAATCATGACACGAGTAGTGTTCCTGCGGATGTCCTCTCAGCAAACCTGCGAAGCAGCAGCGAAGCATTGAGGGAAATGGTGCGATCCATTGTGAAGGAAGAGCTCCAGAAGCTGCTGCCCTGACAAGTCGCAACGGCAGTTTCGTCTCTGACTACCTTCTTCAAGCTGTACCCGAGGCACAACCTGTTTGACTTGAACAGCAATTGCAGGAACACCCCGTACCGACTTACGCCGATGCTGTACGCCAGCCCGCCGTGCATACTGCTTCGTTTGCAGCTCCCAGTGGCTACCGACCGGCTTCGTGTGGCTCAAACTATCCAGCTAACTCGAGGCCACGAAAAAGTGACGTGTGGCGCACACCCGACAGGACGCCTCTCTGTTTTCACTGCAGCGAAGCTGAACACCTGTACAGAATGTGCCCATATCGACGAGTTGGTCTCCATGGGTTTTCTCCAAACGCGCCATGCCCCCGAAATGGCGAAAGACCCGTTGAAATTGAAGATTACTCGTCCGGCCATCTGTTTCCAACTGCCGATTTCCAGCATCAGCCTAGATCACCAGAGCCTGCTCGCTATCGATCGCCAAGCCCTCGACGATTTAGTTCACCTTTTCCACCTTCAACCTCAACACACCGTCGTTCAAGCAGTCCCCATCACGAAAACTGAAGCCAGCGACCTATGGAGGCAAGGCCGCTGATGTCCGACCAACTGAAGATCCTCTGTCAAGGTCCCAGTGCAGCAACGATGAGTGGAACACTACAACTAGGTTAGGTAAAGACAAAATTTCTTCAGACTTACGCATTACCGTAGACGGGTGTGAATTTACCGTTTAGTTGACACAGGTGCTGATTATTTGGTTGTCAGTTATGCTGCCACAAAGGATTTAAAGAAAGTCCTGACGCCTTGGAGTGGACCCCAGATATGCACGGCTGGGGGTCATCTCATCACACCTGTGGGAAGATGTACCGCACGAATCGGAATTCAAGGCGCTACTTACGTTGCTGACTTTGTCGTACTTCCGGAATGCTCTAGAGATTTAATACTCGGAATGGATTTTCTGCTAGCAAACGGAGCTATAATCGACCTGCAGAATTCTAGTGTCTCTTTTTCGACCAAACTGGCCATAGACACAAATGAGCCAGAATACACTGCATTACGTGTTATAGATTGTGATGTTACCAATGCCGCCACGATGCAGCGTAATAGTCGGTGTAAGAAATGAAGCATTCGTTGATTCTGAAGGTATAGCGGATGCAAACGTCGAACTACTGCTCAAGAAAGGCATTTGTGTAGCTCGAGGCATTATTCAATTACGTGGTGGATGTGCCGATGTATTGCTCACGAATTTCGGAAACGAAATTCAGCACGTTGCAAAGGACACTGCTATCGCCTTCCTGCACGGTTTTCAAACAGTGACGGACTTATGTGGTCTGGTGTCAGGGCCACCTACTTCGGAACCTGCTCCCGATGTCATGGCAAGAGTTGCGATCAGCCAAAATCTATCCCCAGCCGAGAAGAAAATCATTCAAGACCTCCTAAGAGACTTCACCGGATGTTTCTCTATCTCGTCAAAAGTACGGCGGACCCACGTTTTAAACACTGAATAATAACAGATGAAGCTACAAAACCGGTACTCCAAAATCCGTACAGAGTATCACCGAAGGAACGTGAGATCATAAAGAGCCAAATGAAAGAGATGCTGGAGGATGATGTCATACAGCCATCCAATAATCTGTGGGCGTCGCCTGTAGTCCTTGTGAGGAAAAAGGACAACACGCTGAGATTCTGCATTGATTACAGAAAGCTGAACAGCGTGACCAAGCGGGATGTCTACCCTTTGCCGCGTATTGATGATACGTTGGATCGGCTACGGCACGCAAAGTATTTCTCTTCATTGGATTTAAAAAAAGCGGTTATTGGCAAATTGAAGTGGACAAAAGAGACCGTGAAAAGACTGCTTTCGTAACCCCGGATGGTCTATATGAGTTTAAAGCACTCCCATTCGGCCTGTGTTGTGCGCCTGCAACATTCCAGCGCATGATGGACAGCGTCCTTTCAGGCCTCAAATGGCAGTCGTGCTTAGTCTACTTGGACGACGTTGCGGTGTTTTCAGCAACGTTTGAACAGCATGTAGAGTGACTACGTTTGGTACTTCAGGCTATCCAGTCAGCCGGCTTGACGATTAAACCGGAAAAATGCCAGTTTGGATTCGAGAAGCTTCGTTTCCTCGGTCATGTAATCAGCGCTCAAGGTGTTGGCCCGGACCCGGAGAAGACTGTGGCCGTGGGGCTGTTTCCCAAGCCAAAAGATAAGAAGGAGGTACACCGATTTTTGGGTTTATGTGCTTATTATGGCGGTTTGTGAAAAATTTCGTGAAAATTGCCGAACCTCTAACAAGACTTACAAAGCTTGAATATGCAGCGTCCTAAGCTTGAATATGCAGCTATCGTATGGGATCCTTACACTAAAACTAACATCGATGCGCTAGAAAGGATCCAACGTAAAGCAGTAAGATTCATTTTCTCCAAATATCGCACCAGTGACTCTCCAAGTGACCTAATGGCCCAACACAACATTCAGTCCTTGCAACTAAGAAGAAAAATTCACAGGCTTAAATTTCTATTCTTACTGTATAAAAATAAATTGTCTCTTTCTCCTGAACCTTACATAAAGCCTCTCACTGCTCGCCGAACAAGACATCGCCACTCTGCCACATTAACGCCTTACAATACCAGAACCAACATCTTTAAGTATTCCTTTTTTCCTCGAACAGTAGCCGACTGGAACAGCCTACCTCTTAGTACACTCAGCAACACCGACTCTATCGCATCCATTTCATCTTAGATCTAGCCCTTCCTCTTTCAATACAGTGATCCAGTATTTTACTAACTCCTTTGTACATTGATTAGATAGTTCTGTATTGTTTATCTTCTCATATTGTATATTATTTTTCTTTGTATCACATTTCTTTTAGTGCTCATTTACTTGTTAGTAGATTCACTTTGTTGTTGCTTTGTATAGATCCTACTTGTATATATTCTTGATATTTGCAGACTTTGTACTTTTGTTTGTACTTTTCCCCTCCTGCCTGGGCCTATTAAGGCCTGCAGTATTCCTAAATAAATAAATAAATAAATAAATAAATAAAAGAGGACGTGCCATTTATTTGGTGCACCGAACAAGACAGTGCGTTCAACAAACTAAAGAAACGTTTGCAAGCCCCACCTATCCTGGCCCACTTTGACGAAACCGCAGATACGGAAGTTCATACAGATGCCAGCAATCTTGGCCTAGGTGCAGTCATGGTGCAATGGCAAAATATAGAAGAGAAAGTGATAGCATATGCTAGCCGCACTCTCTCAAAAGCGGAAAGAAACTACTCTGCAACCGAAAAAGAGTGCTTGGCAGTCATATGGGCGATCAGCAAGTTCAGGCCATACCTCTACGGCAGGCCGTTCCTTGCCGTCAGCGACCACCACTCCCTTTGTTGGCTGGCGAGCTTAAAAGACCCATCGGGACGGCTTGCGAGATGGAGTCTCAGGCTCCAAGAGTATGACATTACGGTCGTATATAGGTCTGGCAGAAAGCATGATGATGCTGACTGCTTATCACGTTCAACAGTCCACTCGACTCTTCCAGAAGAAGAGGACTTCCCACTCCTTTGTGTGATAAAAACCTCAGAAATCGCCGAACATCAACGGGCTGACATGGAACTGCTCCCATTAATAAAGTATCTCAAAGGGCACGACGAACAAGTTCCTCACGTATTTAAGAGAGGGTTATCCTCATTCTGCCTGCAAGATAATGCACTTTACAAGAAAAATTTTGAACACAACAAGGAGAAGTTCTTACTCGTTGTACCATCAGCCATGAGGCATGAAGTCTTAAAAGCCTGTCATGATGAACCGTCAGCGGGTCACTTGGGAGCGAGTCGAACTTTCGCCAAAATTCATCAGAAATACTACTGGCCCAAGTTGCTAGCGTCCGTGAAGCATTACGTGAAGACATGTCGCGAGTGTCGAAGGCGAAAAACACCACCCCTCGAGACGACCGGCCTTCTCAAGCCTATAGAGCCACCTGCGACTCCATTTCAACAGGTTGGAATGGACCTCTTCGGACCGTTTCCAATGTCGGCATCAGGAAAAAGGTGGATAATAGTTGCGACTGACTATTTGACACGATACGCTGAAACCGGCTGCCTTGAGCGAGGAACGGCAACGGAAGTCGCGAAGTTTTTCGTTCACAATATTGTTCTTCACCATGGAGCCCCACTCATCGTGATTACCGGTCGAGGAGCAGCGTTCACGGCTGATTTGATGCAGTCCTTAATGACAATGACTAACACCAGCCATAGTAAGACCACTGCATACCATCCCCAAACCAAAGGGATGACAGAACGCCTGAACCGCACCATCTCTGGTATGCTGTCGATGTACGTTGACATTGAGCATAAATTGTGGGACGAAATCTTGCCATACGCAACTTTCCCCTACAATACGGCAGTGCAGGAGACCATCCGCGTCACACCATTTCAGCTGGTCTACGGTCGCACTATCACTACGACACTCGATGTCGCTATGTTGCCAGTAGACAACGACAATTACGAACCATCTGAACTTGACGACTTTCTGCAAAGGACTGAAGAAGCCCGCCAGCTAGCTCGACATCGAATACATCAACAGCAAAACAAGGACGCAAGCCACTACAACCTGCGCCGCAGAAAAGTTCAGTACAACTTAGGCGAGCGAGTGTGGATATGGACACCACTTTGACGCCGCGGCCTATCAGAAAAGCTTTTTTGTCGATACTTTGACCCCTATAAGGTTCTCCGATGAATTAGTGACCTAAACTACGAAGTCATCGCCGATGGACACATCTGTTCAAAGCGGCAAAACAGCGCAGAAGTCGTACACGTCGTTCGTATGAAGCCCTATTATGAGAGGGAATCAAAGCGCTCCCTTTTTCTGTTTGCCTCCCTCCATCGCGCATCGGGACAATGCGTATTTCGAAGGGAGAAATGTCACAGAGACTGTTTATAATATCCGACATTATGAAGAATCAGCGTCCACAGTCTTGTGCGCACTCTTGCTTGGGGCCGCACGACTCATGCCTCTTGTTCACAGGCACCAGCCAGTGTGAGTTGGAGCTGCGAAGAAGAAGAAGGTGTGTGGGCACATGAACAGTTTTTGTTTTGGAACGCTCTAGCGGACTCTTCCATCTTTTCGCACATAATTTTCGGGGTGCAAGTTCGCCCATAATAAACTAGTTTTTGACTTTTCCTCTCTTGCACCCGTTACAATATTATTATAGATCTAATCAAAATATTTAGTAGGCATACTATGGTCGAATACCTTCACAATAAAAAAAATTTAGCAGATCCCATGTATTATAGGAATCAATGTTATGCAAAGCATGCAGAAAAAAGGTGACTCTAGTGTAATGTTTTTCTTGAGAGGAACATTGCAAAATGACGCTAAGCATTTGTATGAATGATACGCACAGACGTGTATGCTTAACATCATATATGTTTTATATAACCAGTTGTTTACATTTGCATAACGATACCAGGAGCAAGATGCATATTACCAACTTCCAAACCAATAAGCTTAAATATAGCCTTTGCAAGGATGTTAGCCCTGGATAGTGCTACGTAGACAAACTTCAGCGGATGGCGCTTAACTGCAACTGATGTTGACCTGACTTGACATGTGTATAATTAAAGGATTTTGATGTTTCGCCAACATTATGCCTGCATAGAGTCTTTTTCGAACACAGTTCCGAGACCTGGCAGGGCTCTGCGGTAGAATACCCAATCACAACGCAGAATGCTTGGGATCAATTTCTGTTGCGACAAATACATGCGCCAGAAATCGTTCCACAAAATTTTTATAGGTGCAACAGGCTTAAGGAAAGAAACCTACATACTTGATCCTACCTATAGATCTGCCCGCATAGACCATTCCCTGAAGGTTAGGGAATATAGGTGTCGGATCAACCTATATAAACATTCTTTATTTCCAAGGACAGCCCATCACTGCAATTGTCTCCCGAATGAAGTTGTACTGTCGTTGCCGACTTCCTTTGATGAAGCTCTTACAGAATGTTTGTTTAACTAGGTTTTTTTTTTTTTTAACTTTGAGCTCTCCATTTACAGCTTCTGTCAAGTTGTGTTTTCTACTCTGTCTTTCTTATGAGGTTATGTATCTATAAAGTTCATTTATGTTTATAAGTTTATGTTTTGTTGCTTTTTCGTGTTGTACAACATGTATCAACCTCTCCGTAACGTGATGTTTAGTCTTTTTATAATGTTATTTATGTTTAGAGTGCTGATGTTATCTTTATTCTTACAAAATGTTTGTTGCTTTTCATGTTGTATATACTACCTGTATCTTTTCCTGTTTGTTTCCCCCTCACAATAATGCCCAGTTGGGCGCTGTAGGTATCTGAATAAATAAATAAATAAATAACACTTATTCTTTGCTCTCGTCAGGTGAGCGCTGCCGATGCCGGGTTTTCTTAATGCTCTCTCGTTAAGAAAGAACAGACCACTTTCCTTTTTGTGTTTCAGTTCATAACAACAGTGTTCATAACCAAACATGTGGGCTTTGCACTGCGAACTTCTCGCACATACTATTCTGCACCACATATTTTTTTCAATATCGCATCAATAGATGAAGGCGCCCTTTGTCCGGATATAACCTCTCTAGGATGATCCCTTTCACATTTGGGCAAACAAATCTTGCCGTTTGTCGGACAAATTGTCGACAGGAAAGGTAGTTATGTACAGCCCTTCCCCCGTGTGACACAGTCACAAGCTCCAAAATTGCTCGCCAACACAAGTTTATGTTGGAGGGGTCCACAAAATAAAGCTGTGCTTCATTTTTCTGAGCATTACTCTGTGGTCTGGTCCACAGAATAAAACTGTAGTTTATTCTGTAGTCCGGACAACAGAATAGGCGCTGCCAAGGAATTAGCCCCTCACACTCACGAAAAAGAAAAGTTTTGATTTTACGACTATCCTTTGGAAAATACACCCAATTAATCTCCCTTTTGATGGAGATACTATATGTCTGTTAGGCAGTCCCCGGGACACTCACAACTCTAATAATAGTACCTGGTGTTTTATGAGCAGAAACTGTTTTAACTGGCACAGAAATCACATGGTACATGAGCCTCTAGCATTTCACCTCAATTTAAATGTAACTACTGTGGCCAGGATCAAGCCTGCGACCTTCTACATCTAACACTGTTCTCTTGCAGTGCTCTTGGTAAAGTGAACTAATGCATCATGACCGTGACATCCACGATTAGTTCGTCATCACCTCGTTTCCATGCGTCTGTCTCATTCGGTGCATTTCCAGTGGAAGAGACTGCAATTGGGATGCCAGGTGGCAATTTTACCTTTAGCGTCGGCCTTGGTCATAGCATCCATCCATACTAAAAATAGCTCTGCGTTGCCTAGCTGTAAGTGCACATTTTTCACTTAAGCTTGCCCCACAAAAATTGCGAACAACCAACAATGCAGACACGACATGCATTACATTTCTCTCTAGTCGGGCAGTGGTGTTCAATACTTTAACAAGCCGCGAGTAGGCAACCTTAGCCCATTTTCAGTGTCCATTCAGTAATGGCTGTCCTGGCTGTCACACCGCTTTTTCTGATTCTGCTCTTACCTTTAACTACTACAGCTATTATAACCACCTACGACCACAGGGGTTTGTTTAATCAATGATACTGGATGTTAGTCAATGGAATGGAGATGTATCACTATGCGTAAACGTGGGGTGCGTTCATGTTAATCGGTGCTATAGCTGTCAAACATCAAGTGACATTGCGCAAGCTCTTATATGGTCGCATGGGAAAAAGAGGGACTTCAGGCAAGGAATACCGCGTAGTCGCAGATACACAAGTTAGTGGTGCGACACAACCAAAAAGCCTCAGCGAGAGCACGCGCTGTCCCGAAACGACTTCCTCATTTGTTTCTCCTGGATGCGGGCTCGTGCTCGCCGCAGTTCAGGGCCAGGTAGCATTATTCCACCACTGAAAAATAAAAGCATCACCCCAATGCTCGCGCAAACGGTAGTGCATAGGCGGAAGTAAACCAAACGTGCACACTGTGGGCACACTGAAGAAGAAAAAACACCAACAAAGGAACAAGGCTTAGACACGGTGGCACTAACGAATGAAGTACGGCTTGAGCCGTACAACGTGAACAACCTCTGGGTAGTGCTCTCAACGCTGGGGCGGCGATATCAATGTACAGTAAACATTCCACTATTTCGGTAAAGATCAGTGTCATTTTCGTGTTATATCGATTCCTATTATGAAAGAATCAACTATTTTTTTTTCTCTTTATATTTATGCAAGGTCCACTACTTGCATTCATTGGTTGCAACGATATATTTAGTTTTGTTTGTTTCTTTCTTTGAAATAAGTAGAGATAAGCAAATCTCTTTTTGCTAATTTCGTAGACGATTTAAATAATACAGAGGCACAAACCTGGATTTCTCGCTTCATGCCTAGTCGTTCCAAATTGCTGAAAAAGTTGTTGGAATCCATCTGAGGGAAAAGTCGGTGGCCCCAGTGCTCCAGTAACGACATCGTCGTGTCCAAGTCATGTAGCTGGAATGATTGCACGGAGTTACTTAAGCGTGTCGTAATGGAAGCCGCCGAGATGGCTTGCAGCATTCTACTCACCTCATGGCCTTGCCCTCGCCAGAGAATATTCTTGGACATTCGCACGAGCTCTCGAATCCCTTTGGAACCAGCAAGCCTGTGACACAACGTTCAGTTTGCCGCTGACACTGTACAGCAGCAGAAACATACAAGACAATAAAACGGTGCTCCCCACTTGAAGCCATGGCTACAAGTGGTGTTAACAATCCCAGATTTACAAGCACCAAAATAACCGATAGAGTGTACGGCAAGATCTACCAATATAGCTGAAGTGGTAGCGCATCAGACATGTTATTCAAAGTAAAGCTTGTAGTTGGGCACTCTTTCTTTTAACTACTCTTCTCGGCGAATTGTATCTAAATTTCTTGTAACATGTTATTCAAAGGTTGCAAGTTCAGTCCCCACCAGTGTCAAGCTATTTCTTTATCCTGTTTAATTTCTTTATATTTGTATTATAATTACTACAATACAGTTACGATGATTGAAAATAACGCCCCTTTACATTCCTTAACTTCATTGTTCGTTGGTTTTCATTGAGGTTATGCCTAACGAACTGCAAGATTTCCCTTCTGTCATTCAACAAGGCATATAAAAATCCCAAAAAAACCTAATGAGACACCACTATAGGCGGTGACAAGCAGGGAGACTAGCAGCGCTATTTGTCATGATGTTGTCCATCTTGGGCGTGAGGGCATACCGTGGTGCCACCATGGGGAGGCATCCCTGTGACATGCGTGATTGGATTGCTCCGCCGCCCTCTCGCGCGCTGTCCACAGTTGCTTTCTTGTTTTTATTATTATTATTCTTGTGGTACTTCACTCAACGAAATTAGTAAGATGCTACTGGAGCTTCTTCCCTGACTTTACAAAGAGCTAGATAACTGCCCCGGAAAATAGTTGCACCTCTCGTAACGCTCGATTGCCAGCGCCTTATGGTATGGCCACCGAAATGACAACCACAAAGGCCGAGCGCGCTGCTTCTGTAAATGGTAACGAGTCATTCCATGTCGAAATGAAGCATCAAATAGGTATTCACAGTAAACAAAGTTATCTTTGCTGTAAGAAATGCGCGCAAGCACTCAATCTCATTCATTGTAGGTTTGCACTTAAAGACGGGCTGCAGTTGACATGACAAGCAGGAGCAAATTTACAGGTTTGTTTAGCGCACATAGCCACACGAAGCACAGCGCAAGCGGATTCTTTGCTTTGTGGAAAGCAGCCCAGCATTCTTACTGCCGCAGTCTTTTTGTTATGGTTGTGAACAAACGTGGGAATCACGCATCATTCAGAGCTGTTACTTTCCTCTGCGGCACGACTGTAATATTTATTGCACAGTATTTCTACACTGGTCACTCATTGTACATTCCATCGCCAGCTATCAGCACATGAGTGAAAACGAATTATGAATGGTTGGTTCAGTTCCAGAGCTTCCACCAAGAGGTAAACCGTGATCAAAAAAGTTCGATCAGCCAGTCGTATCTTTGCGCCCTTGAACGAGCCTGCTGCGATGTCTTGCGTGCCGTGATCTAAATGGCAATTTGATGTTCCAGTGAAATAGCCATGTCCATGTGTTTTCTTTTTTTTTTTTTTTACAGCATCCATAACCTGTGTGATATTTCGCGGCAGCTCTAAGAAGATGAATCAATTTTCAAAGCTGAGCACATTTTCGCCTGTAGATCAAAACATTCAGAGGCCATGACAAAGGGTATAGGCCCATTCTACAGACGTAATCTATAAACGAGGAACCCTGTGAGCTGAAGTTGCAGACGACAGGGGCGTTGGCAGAAATTTTTTTCGAAGGAGGCACCACCTTGATTAGAATTAAGCCCAGGCAGGCAGATGTGGTAGACCGTTATTTTGTGCGCTATACATCATGTAAGGGAAATAATGGGAGGGGCAAGGGTTTGGTGTGCCACCCCCTGTACGCTACTGGTGGATGGATACCCGTGTGATCGGGTACACGCATGGAGACGGACAGCCAGGGTGGAGAGTGGGAGTGGCACAGACCGGGGTTAGATTACCTTGGTGAGAGAAGTAAGCTTTAGCAAACACTGGTGCAGCACATGTATGATGTAAGAAAGAAGGTTTCGTCGAATGTGCTGGCCGAACTCGCAGAAGCAACTGGCCACAAATAGACCGGAATAGGGTAAAATTAACGAAGACAAAGGGAAAAGAACTAGACTTCGGAGCTATATCATGACTCTCTGACGTTCCGCTTTTCTGTGAGCATTAATGGTCAGTGCTCATTTGAACCCCATAAGCTAGAAATAATAACCGCAACACAAAAGAGAGATGTGACAATGGCACAGCCAGCGGCCATGCCAGTGACCTCCCGTACATAGTGCACTGCAGCACGCCGATTGTAGCTTTTACTACAGCTTTCTGGATTGTGTAGTCGGCAATAGTCCGCACACATGAAGCCACAGCAAAACAACGCTGTTCAGGAATGAAAACACCGTGAAGTCACAGTAAAAAATCACAGCATATCGACAGAGTGAATGATGATGAGTGGGGCGAAGTGTCCGTAAGCCCGTCCGTGCTTCCGTCTGTTTGTTCTTGCTTCCCTTCGTCCGCGCAGCCATCCGGATGTCCATCTATGCGTCCGTCCGTGAGTCCGCCCATCTGTCTATCTGTCTGTCCGTCCGTTTGTCCATCTAGTGAACACTCCAAGTACCGCCACCTCCCGTCTCACATCCCCTGTGGCACACACCTGCTCTAGAGCGGGTATGTGCCACTGGTGGCTAAGTACGACAATGGAAAAACAGACCCCCTCCCCCCCCTCTAAGGAGCTTCGCCCCTAAAACAACACATCCACGCCAGCTTTCCTTTGCGAGAGCGAGGCGAGATCACGTGATCCAACCATGCATGACACAGCGATTCCAGCGCCCGCGCCTCCAATAGTGTCCCTCGCGCCCAATATCAACCAGGATTGTAAGGGTTTAAGAATCTTGCCCAAAGCGCACTTCCAGTGACTCTCGATGCCATGTGTATGTATATATATATTTACGCAAGGCAAACGCAGTATTCAAACTACGCGCGCTAGTTCGTGCACCCCCAAAGAGACCAGCGGCCCGATGATGAGACAAAAAAAGGCCGTGACGGCGCGCGCCTCCTCAGCACGAGATTTTGACGAAAAAGAAGTGGGGCGCCACTCGAGGGCTTCTCGGAGATTGATTCCTTTTGCTGATCGCCTCTTAGAAACGCTGCTACATTTTCCTTTACTTTTCGGGCACAAGTTAGCCCAAATAAACAGTTATTCTTACACCATTTGGGTTGTGCGTAACAATTCTGGTGGAGGAGCCGGGTAATGATCCCAAACCCAGTTGGACTTCGAGGAAGCAGCCCGGAACCACGACCAGTCGAACCAACTGAGCTCACGCCAGTTCATCAGCGCTCCAGCCATCGTCTACGCGGTGAGCCGCTGGAATTTCCCCTGCCACAAGAGCCTAGAGTGTCTCCAGCTGTCTCCGGTGAGAGTACCGAAATGTCGTCTCCAATCGCCGCCGCACACGTCGTTTCGTCTCCAGTCGCTGCCACGCACGTCATTGTCGATGAGCCACGGACGCCCGACCCTTTTCATGGCGATCCTCATGAAGACGCCGAGGATTGACTGGAGGGTTTTGAGAGCGTCGCCAACTGCAACGGATGGACCGAAGAACAGAAGCTCTGCCGCGTATATTTCGCGTTGCAGGACAGCGCACGAACGTGATTCGAAAACCATGAAGGTGCCATTCGGTCGTGGGATAACTTCCGACGGGAGCTACTGGCCACATACCCGAGCACAGACCGCAAGGAAAGAGCTGAAGCTGCCTTGAAAGCAAGAAACCAGCGCAACAATGAAAGCGTCGCAATGTATGTGGAAGACATGTGCCGGTCATTTCGCCGGTCTGATCAAAATATGAGCGAGGACAAGAAACTTCGGCACCTGATGCGTGGGGTGAAGCAGGAGATTTTCACTGGTTTGCTCCAATGCCCCCCGCATCATCGCCGAATTTCGCACCGAGGCGACAGCGATTGAAAAAACTCTGCAACAGCGAGCGAGGCACTACAATCGAGATGTGAACATCGCATCTGTAGACGTGGTGTCAGCAGTCTTCGGGAATGGCATCGACGCATTACGAGAGCTCATTCGATCGGTGGTTCGAGAAGAGCTCCAGAAGCTAAACGGCGACCTCTCAACGGTCTCGTCATTAGCGAAAGTTGTTCGGGAGGAAGTGAGACAGGCAGTCCGTGAGCAGCAGTCACAAGCACAGCTGGTTCAAGCGTTGATTCCGATGCAGCCCGCAGTCTCGTACGCCGAGATGCTGAGAGGCGCCCCTGTACCTCCTTTCGTCGCCCCTGGACCTTATTTCCCCGCAGCAAGCACGCGTCTGCCGAAACCTCGATTCACCCCGTCCCCAGCCGAGACGAGGATCCGAAAAGCTGATATATGGCGCACTCCTGATCGAATTCCGCTTTGTTATCAATGCGGCGAAGCTGGCCATCTTTACCGGATGTGTGAATATTTCCGAGCTGGACTTCGGGGTTTTCCCGTAAACGCTGCTTGTACAAGGAATGGGGAACGACCTTTTGAAATCGAGGGGTACTTATCAACGCGTCAAGGTACTCACTCCTCGCAGCAGCATCAGTCTCGGTCAACAGCGCCACTGAGGTATCAATCACCAAGTCCGCGCCCATCTTCAAACTCTCCAAGACGACTTCCCCAAAGCCCGCTTCGGGAAAACTAGATTCGGCGACCTAGGGAGGTAAGGCCACTGCCAACGCAAGAAAACAACCTGCAGTGCCGATTTCAAAATGTGATGATGGACACGAGACTACGTGCGGAAACGGTAACGTCGCTTCTGATTTGTCGGTACTTATAGACGGCTACGAAACGAATGTTTTGGTAGACACAGGTGCAAACTATTCCGTCATGAGCAGGAGACTTGCCAGAACGCTGAAAAAAGTGCTGACCTCTTGGATAGGACCGCAAGTGCGAACTGCCGGGGGACACCTTATCGATCCAACAGGCATGTGTACCTCTAGAGTCGGAATACGCGGCTTCACCTACGTCGCCAGCTTCATTGTCCTGTCGGAGTGTTTAAGAGATGCAATTATC